CGTTCGTTATGTGTGCGATTCTTACTCCCTCAGTCTTCATTCGATTCACCCCATTTTTTCAGTTATAAAAACACCTATTTTAAGTTTGTTTCCATGCTTTTCCTGCTCACATTTATAATTCGTTTAATAATAAAAAATAAACTATTTTACAATTATATCTTAATCCTGTGCAATTGTTGTGTTTCTAAGGCTCTTGTAGTCTATATTCGCACCTCCTAACTCCCATCTCAAGTTGAAAATTATTATTTCAATTTTGTTTCCATGCTCATTTTTACATACTTTATATCCGTTCTAATCCTGTGTAATTTTGTTTCTAAGCCTCCCGTAAAAACCATATCTAGTTGGAAATAATTATCACCTTTTATTCGCCGTCGTAATTATGTAGAATCAAACAAGAATTGTCTCCATGTAAAATTATTTATTTAAATGCGATTGTACAGCTTTTGAAAATGAAATCGCCGAAAAGATATCTTTGATGAACTTCTTGTTCTCTTCTTTTTAATGTCCATATGGGTGTTATCCAAGATATGAATGTCTGTCGACATCGAATCACCCTCTGACCAACGTTCTGCCTGCGAAAACCATCTTCAGAAATATGGGGGAAAACCAGTTAAGCATCGGAATTCCAATAGCATACCTGAAAAGAATTATACTGAGATGCACTCTAAACGCACAATCTGCAAAAAAATAAGATCACAATAGTATCTTCCTTGGGTCAACTAGTAGGAAAATGTTTTATGATAGGCCTCAAAAATGGTACATCAAAGTCCTCTATCAAAGACTGCTAACTGTACATAAGATACGTGTGTGATGATAAATGTTACCTAGACTTCTCGTTATAAGTATTTAATTACAGCCATCTAACGATAAAATTCATTCATGAAATGGAAGAAGAACATAAAATTCCCTCTCTTTATGTTCAATTACAAGGAACCTTAGGTGGGTCTATCCATAAGAAACCTATAGGAAACGATCAAATGACATTTTCCTACACCTGGGTACCAAGTGAATGAAAGTGAAATTCATTTAAACCCCTACTATCTGAGTCTGATGTACTTGCAGTCTTGACTTTCTGAAAGAAGATTTATAAATTCTCAAAGAAATTCTCCAAACTGGATATCCACCAAGACTTATTGACAAGAACATCAAACCGTTAAAAGTGAACTTGGTTTGGACATATATAAGAACATCAAATTTGAAATTCAGCGAAATGAGACATATTCCATGTCTAAAAAAGAAAAACTTTACATTGACTCTGATTTCAAGCGTGGCTCAAAGTGCGATGTTCCTGAGAGAAGAATTTCAATCGCTTAGTAAATAACAATCTTTGTAGCAACGTTTAGAGCAGTGTTTTCCAGTCCCCCACTTTTCTGAATAAACCTGAAATAAAACATTCCTCCATCTCTACGTGCAGATTTAAGTTCACCTGCCAGATGCATTGGCAATTTGACGCTTATTCTGTGTAAAAACGTTCAACAATACTATTTTGCATGCTTGCAGGAAGGTAACAGAGGCTTCATAAGCAGTACGGTAATTAGACACCATGTCAACAATGCCCGATTTATTGCCAAAAATTTCCCCTTTCAAAATACTCTACAAAATGAATAGCAACCTGCAGATAACACCGCACTTTCATCTCTTCAGCACTGCTGAAGCTTTGGCTATTTAAACAGAGAAACAGGAGCTTCTTAAACCACTGCTACTGTCAGTGGTAATGGCGCTATTCTTTTTAAACCTAATTGTGTTTTTAGTTTTCTTACCTCTTTCCAATGCTTTTTTTCTTTTGAACACCTCTTTTCTGTGTGTATTCCGATGACAGTTAATTCATCAAACAAATTATCTCATCACTCACCGGTATCACCTTTATGCCGCTTCTTTCATATACTGATTTATGGTACCAACTATGTTTACAACAACTCGTCTACGTCCTTTCCATGGAATTTTGTGGAATAAAAAATTGTAAATAAATACGACTGTACAATTACAGAAGTTACGAAGTGACGGAAAACAGTCTCTTTGCTGAATTACACGCCTTTGTTTTCCAATGAGAGCATATTGATCATGTTTTTCTTTTTTATCCTTCACGTTCCCCAGTGGAAAATAGGGCCTCAAGCTAGTGGATTGAAGTTTCTGTAGCAGTGTTTATTTTACAGGATGGGGTTGCTAGCCTCATGCCCAACCTTTCTTCTTCACCGGAATTATTTCTGACTTAGCGAGGTAAAGGAGTGCGTTGGCCGGGGATCGAACCTCGGACCATGTGCATGGTCGGTGAGCGTCCAAACCGCTTTGCCACCGACGCATTTCTTAAAAAGTAAACTCTCAAACTGGAGTTGTGAAGCTCCAGTTTCCAGTTGTTCCTTATGAATAAGTTTTTAAATAAAGCAGAAATCAATGTTTGTAGAAAATAAGATGAGGCCAACATTCATTTTCGTCTCAGATGAGCACAACCTAAAAGTTAATTATGTAGGTGTACTGACAAAGTTTAACATAATTGCAAAAGTTATATGACTTCTGAACCATCCGGCATACGCGTTTGTCTTGTAACCAGAAAGTCCTGGGTTCGAACCCCACTGTGGTGGGTACGTACTACCGATGATTCTCAAACTAGGATGAAACAGCTGCCTGATACTCTCTAGTTTTCAATAATTCTCTTACTGATATCAATCCGTGATCAACTCGTAAAAAACTGAAAACTAAGTTGCACAATCAAAACAAGAGATGCGAATTTGATGATAAGTAATTATTCCTTTTCATAACAGTATGGTAAGTCTAACTCAAGTCATAGAAACCAAAAAGACAAACAAGCCAGATTATGTTTAAGCAAAACTGCATGGAGGATTGAAACAGAGGGTTTCGTAATCAAATGATTAAAAGAGATTAGACGTCGAGTTACCAAGTCAAGGAAAGACTGATAAATTAATCTTTCTGAACGCATAAGTCAGGTTTGAACAGTACAATAGCGACTGTTTTAGCAAATTTCAGAGAAGTTGAGTAATACTGTCTATTAACAATCTTGAAGTATTTCAAGGTATCTATCTACCTCATGAACCGTATCAACAGTAGGCTTTTTAGTACCTTTTATAAAAAATCTAAGATATGATCAGTAAATCAACTCTCTCTTCAAATTCACCGAACCAATTGGTATCAAACGTTTGAAACTTGATTTCTTTGTTTTGCATCTATGTTAGCCAAAAATTATGTACCCTTTGCAGGTATGTTTATATTTCTTTGTACATATTTATATATATAAATAACTTTTAGGCTGTACTTAACTGAAGAGAAAAGCGATGGAATAAATGATGACTTCTGTTCAAACATTTGTTTACGCTTTATTGGAAGTTTTTAAAATAAGTTTCCCTTTACATTAAATTGTCTTACCATATCTTAAAATCAATCTGAAGAAATGTAACGATGCTTTTGGATAAACTAACTCCAATGATAAGAATATAGGCATACCAATTAAAGTAAAGTATACTCTTGTCTAACTATGAATATTTTAAAGTTCTTACTATTATTATCATTATCGTTTAATATTAATCTAATCTTCATATTTATATAATCCTCGTTTACCTGTTCGTGTAAATAAGGACTGTCACATGCAAAAGAAACTATTCTTCTTCTTCTGAAAGGAGGAGAACAGGAAAAAAAAATTAATAATTGTAGATAAATACTGATGAAAATGTGCACAGAGAAACATAATATAGATAAATTTGTGTAGGTGTCAGTGTGCGTGTGCGTGTGTGGAAATGAAAGTGACCGTGTTTGTATGTATCCGTATGGGTAGGCACGTGGTTCTTCATCTTCTTCTTATTTCTTCTATCAAAAATTAAGCCATCTTGAAAAATCACCTGAAGGTCTGTCCCATAATAAACATTTAAGATTATAAAACTTTATAATAATAATAATAATAATAATAATAATAATAATGAGGATAATAATAACTATTCCACAAGAACCTTATAAAATACACTTTTGGTCATCTATAAGTCTGTTAATGTGTAATAATCTATGCGCATGCGTATATCATAGTCGTGCTTATGTGTTTGTGTTTGTGCGTGTGTGCGAATGAGGAAGCAAATGCACACTTGATAAACGAGTGTACTGCTATCACACACACACACACTGGCACACAATAGCACACAAATAGATGTGTGGATATGTGTGCGTTATGTGTGTATTTAATTTCAAGTTAGGATAGTCAGTTTTGATTACTGCCTATCAGAAGAATGTTTAGTCTACGAAATATATATATACTTTCTTAAAATGCTTAATGAAATAGTCTCCTGGGTGCATAGAAACCCAAAGAATAGTGCATAATGGCTTGTAGGCGTATCTAGGCGTACACACACACATGTCTCTGTATATAAGTATGGAGATTAAGTGTATATAAATGGGGGTACAGTGTTTGTGAGTGAGTGAGTGAGTGAGAGAGAGGGCGAACTAGAGAGAACTTGGTGTGGGAGAAGATTAAAATTTATATATATATATATATATATATATACATTATATAATAAAAACTGCCGAAACCGGAACTAGATAAATTTTGGACAAATAATAATAATTATTATTATAGTACAGTAATAAGTTGTAAAATCAACTCATCACTCACAATTATGCTTTACTCTTGAACTTCTTCTGCGTCTCTGGCTTTCAATGATTACACGTTTTCCGTATTCTATGTGAGAAAGCAAAACAGTTGCATAAATTCGGATTATATGCATTTACAAGCTTTAATTATTCAGTTTTTTGTGCAAACTACTCTGTGATAAGAAGAAGTATTCAGGAAGTTGAGAAATTTTAAAAATACATACGTAATTTGTGGAAATTACATCTCAACTGCTATTACTTTTACAGCCAATCACATTAAAAGATATTTCTTTGAATGGATATAATTTAATGTTATCATTGTCTGTGAATTTATTTCCCTCGTAAATGATGATAATATTCGCATATACAAAATCAGGATATTATTATTATTATACTTGATAATAAGTATTACAATGGAGAATAATACTACAAATCATATTACAGATACTTCTAGTGTAAATTTGAAGTAAGTCTTACTGCCTGAATATTCATTTTATTATTTTTATGGCATCTAATTAATGGCGTATTTTGTGTCTCTGAGTGTGTGTGTGTATTTGTATGTTTGTGGGAGAAACTTTGAATTTTACGCTATGTGAATTGTTAATGCCCGTCGATGGCACAGCGGTAGAATGCTCTCCAACCACGTATGTGGTCCGGGGTTCGATCCACAACCGCCAAGGCACTCTTTTACCTCCATAAGCCAGTAATAAGACTTGTAAAGAGTGAAGGTTGGGCATGTGGCTAGCAACAACCCATCCTGTAGAGAAATAAACACCACTGCTACCGAAATTTCAAGCCTGTATCTTAAAGCTCAATGTTCCAATGGGAACGTAAAGGAATTTTTAAAAATGTGAATAGTTAGCTCCATGCTCAATCTCCCCTTTCTTTTGGACTAGGAATGGTCTAGTAAATTATACAATACAGCTTGACGTAATCCCTGTACACTTTATATTGTAAACCGTCTTATTTATGATTTTATGCAAGTCAGTCATTCCTAAGGTGGAAAATTTATAATTTTAAAAGGCAAATTATAAAGTCTTTCGCTTCAATACTAGACAACGGTGATGATCATAATGATAATGATCGAAATCTAGCTGGACGGTAACTCTAGGGAACATTTGATTAGAAAAACAACATCTTCAAGGAAGCTGTGCATATTTTTTTTAGAAAAAATTGATCTTATGGTTCAAACTGGCAACCATTTTGAAAGAATTAAACAGGAGTATAAAACAAGGAGAATTAGCTATGTTAGATAGTAAGATAAAACGAAAAGAAGAAGGTCAACTGCACACTAGCGTTTATAAAAAGCCAACTCACTCTGCTAATAAAGATTTAGACTAATTTATCTCATCCGTTGTCTGTAAAGGCTGGCTTAGTTAAGTGTCTAACAAGCCAAACAATAGCAATAAGTAGTACAAGAAGAGACCTAAATGATGAAATAAAACAGATAAAAGAATAGCTGATTGGTGTTAAATAACTATCCTACAAAATTCATTAGGAAGATCAGAAAAGGCGCAAAGCAAAATAAAAATAATGGGAAAACTAATAATGATAACATAAATAAGAGAAAAATATAAGGCATATGTAGTTCTAACATATAAGGAGGGGACATCTGAGGCCCTACGTAGGATTCTTAATAAAGCAGGAATTAGAGTGGCATTTAAAATTACAAACTCACTCAAAGACAAGCTGTGTGGGCTAAAGGACCCGGTGAACCCAATTAAACAAAATAACATAATTTACAAAACACCCTGCAATGACTGTGAGGTCAACTACATAGGTCAATATTTTAAGGACTTGATATAATTATGAGCAATAATTTGTGCTCGAAACGTGGTCATCAGTTAATAATACTGTACAACACTGTGTGATTTATCAAAATAAAATCTTATCCATAATGGAATTAGATAGAAGAATAGAATCTGAACATTCCAGTACACTGGCTCTTCCTTTGACCTAGTATACACAGTAGTCAGGTAAATACAATATGAACTTCTTAGAGCTTGAAAATACCTAAACAAATCGCTTCTATTATTATTATTGTTCCCTTGGGTTCCTAGTGGAACAAAGAGCTTCAACTGCACGCCTCCACTTGCTTCTGTCTTCTGCTGTACTTTTCACCTGCGTCCATGTTAATCCATACTGTTTCAACTCTTCTTCACACGACCTCCTCCATGTCCGCCACCCTTGGACGTCCCACTCGCCGTTTCCCTTTAGGGTCCCACTCGAGCTATGGCCTGATGCGCGGTGTCACCCAACGGCCTCCTCAGCGACTGAGTGTCCAATCCATCTCCACTTTCTCCTGCATATTTGTTTGGCGATTGATTCTTGTTTTGTTTGTTCCCATAGTTTCTTGTGGGTGATTCTTTTCAGTCATCTGATCATCACTATAGAAAGAAGACAGCTGTTGATAAAGGTCTGCAACAAGCTGTTGGAAATATTCTTTGTGACCCTCCAAGTTCCTGATCCGTATACAAGAACTGACTTGACGTTTGTATTGAAAATCCGAATTTTGTTGTTGATGCTGAGTGATGAAGATTTCCAGATTGGTTTCAGGTTGATGAATGTCATTTCAGTTAATTTACTTCATAGCGTTTACTACTGAATTACAATGCTCAAGGTGAAGTTCACTGATAAGCTGTGTAAGCAAAATTCTGTCATCATATTATTAAATAATTTGGCTCTACATCAATAAATACACAAATTGAAATCCACTTTTCTTATAATGTCTATAAAATCACAAAAATGTTTTTTAAACACAAACTACCTTTTCGAAGTGTAAATTTCTTCACCCTCTAGTATAAGAAGAATATAAACGTTTTTTAAAATTAGGTGTGGAAAATAGTTGTATAGTTAGAAGAACAACTACATGAAGGAACGTCATTCTCACTAGTTAAATACAGAACTTTGTTTTACACGCTTTAACTTACAACACATGTGAACAGAAAAAAAACAGTCTTTAAACTGTCTGTCACATTACTTTAAACAAAAACCCTTTAACTTACACATGCCAGAAATGAAATTAGTTACTATTTCAGGGTATAACTCCGTCCTGGATAAGTTTCTTTTATGAGGTGAATTGAGAAGCGTTGAGTTGGACATCTGAAAGGTCAGAGGTGGAAGAGTATCAGGTGAAGACTAAATTCAACTTAATGAAAAGTCGTAGGGCTAGTTAAAAGTGACGGCAGAGAACTAAGCGGAACGGAAAGATGTCTCGGAAGCCCAATGTTGTTCCACTCGGGATCCAAGGAACGGATAACTATGCTTATTGTTATTATTATTATTTTTATTCTGTATTACTGATATTTACAATATAGTACAGAAGATTTTCGCCTGAGGTGGATGATTTCGGTGTTGTTGTATTTTCCAAGTTGAATGGTTTAGTTATGAAATTTTCATTATATTACTAGACAAAGTGAAGTACACACTGAAAATGTTGTCTAGTATGATAATGGAAGCCTAACAACTAAGCCATCCAACTCAGAGAACACAATTACACCAAAGTAGATAATATTTCTGAGCAAATTTTATTGTTAGTGCATGGTGAAAGATAATAACAGAACTTTGATTCACTAATTTTCGGCCAACTCATGAACGCCTTACTTGTTTGTACTTTAGATATTAAGGACGGTTTATGTACCTATGTGAGTGTAAAAATTGGTGTCTTTTGAATACGGATCCAAAGTAACGCCAGTTGAACTATGAATAACGACTTCTATCGTAGAATTTTTCTTTATTTCTCACTCAGGGGGAAATTTAGTCCTCAATAATAGAAATTAATGAATTTCTATTCAGCTGTATTAACCGAACTAATTATATTAACAACTACATAATGTTAATGTATTTAATGGAGTAGTTCTAACTAGTGACTGACTGCTGAATATAGTTACCTTGATTTCTAGTGCAAAGTGGTGATCGGTGGGGTACACCAGATCAGATGTAAAGACAAATACGCGTTGATTACATGGCTTAGGAATGTCTCTATTTAAAGAGAATACACAGAAGTTAGAATTCACGGGAGATTGAATCGCATCCCATTAGCTGAATGACCAACAAATTTGCCCCAAAACTCTAACGTATTGCGTTCGATTCCTGGTGAGATTATGGGTAAGTAATTCTGAAGAGCTATCCAGTACTACTGGCTCCCAATCGTCTTCTAATTGATGATAGTTTGTCATTCATCTTGAAGTCAATCAGATCTATGCAAAACAACATTTGAAAATGTAAAAATGTTTTAAATTCCTAATACATAAATTTGTTAATATCTGAAGATAGATTTAGGAACAAAATGAAATCAGCATTAAAAATTTGTGGTAAATAAACCATCTTAAGTTAGCAGTATTCAGAATTGAGTTAAACATGACTTGTTCGGAGATTCGAAGTAAGAACTATGGGTCACTACTCGAACATTTTTCCGACTAACAGCATTTTTTTTTTATTCCTTCACGTTCACAGTGGAAAATAGGGCTTCAACCTAGAGGCTTGAAGCTTCTGTAGCAGTGTTTATTTTTACAGGATGGGGTTGCTAGCCTCATGCCCAACCTTTCCTCTTCACCAGTCTTACTACTAGCTTAGCGAAGTAAAGGAGTGCATCGGCCGGGGATCGAATCCCGGACCATGTGCGTGGTCGGCGAGCGTCGTAACCGCTATGCCACCGACGCCAGACTAACAGCATAATACCATCGAAATCTAGAACTAACATTGTCTGCCTGTCTTTACACACAACTTGGTACATCTCACTAGTCATTAGCTTTGACTACACACTTGTCAAATCTATTTCGATATCAGTTTTTAAGAATAGTATATCCGTTAGCGTACTAAGTGTTTTAACTTTTCTGCCGTTACATCTGTGGCTTAGAACCCATAGCCCTGACTGTACTTGTTTTGTCACCCAATTTATTGGTTCCAGTAGCAATATTGGAATATATTTAAATTCTATACCAATTTAAAATACAATTATAAACTCCAAGTAAAGTGAGAAGAATTCAGACTTCAACGATTGATTTTTTAAGTAAATTTAGACGTAAATCATTGCTACCTTTTTAGGAGAATTTTTGACTCCTCTTAAGGACATCATTTAGTTAAGCTAAAATATAAGAATCGAAGTTTTTGAATATAAATTGCAGATTATTATGATATGTGTACACTTTGATTACTTATCTGAGCAGGACAATGGCCATATTATCCAACACAATCAGTTTTACAACTAATTTGTTATAAATTATTCATTTCAACCAAAACTTTTTAAATATCTCCTTACATATTGAAATAAAGCTCTAAACGAGTATTGTTTGGTTCCTTTTCTTTTAAAAATTACACTTGGAGAAATGTAGAGCTGCTTTTATGGTGAATATATTAGATGATAACTTTAGTTAAATCAGATGATCGTTTTCACTTTTATTGTAAGTCGCCGTCTCAAATAAATAACGTTGTCTCGAATAGAACAGATTAATTCTACAATACTGC